TTTGCTTAGAAGAAACCAAGCTTTCATTTTACTTAGGGTTCTGCCTTTGGACTATTTCCCATTTTAGTTTCATGAGAAATATGTGAAAAAACTCTGCTCTTTGGTGTCCATAGACCAAATCATCAGGGACAGGGGGGCATCAAGAACAAATTGTAAAAATAAGAAACAACTTTAGAGAAGGAGGGACCCTGAGAAAAATGACAGAATTTGAAATAGTTATACAGAATAAAGATAATTTCTTAGGACATATTTACAGATTGCTACTTAAATATGGTATCGAGACAGGACAAATAAAAAACTATATCATAATATTATAAAAATAAAATTTGAATTAAGACTACAAATATTTTTGTTAGGTATCGTCCCAGAGAACATAAATGAAAGAAAGGTACTATAATTTATTAAGAAACATGCTACCAGTAGACGTTTTGGGGACTACAAATGAGGAATATGCAAGAATGGAAAAACTGTCTGCATATTTCACAGCAGAATAGGAATGCTTCCCTTATATAAAATATATCACACAGCAAGGCAAGCTAAGACAGTGAGAATGTGTTTTTTGGAGAAAGAGAGAAACTTTTTAAAAATAAAAATAATATATAGGAGTAGTTTTGTATATACAATCAAAATTGAATCCACAATTGATTTTGACTGATGATGGAGGAAGATATGTGGCAGTTGAAATTAGTATACAAGGAGTCAAAACATTAGTTGTTGGACTCTATGCTCCAAATGTTGACAAAGGGATATTTTATAAAAATTTGATGGATAAATTGATGGACTTACAATACAAGAATTGGTGCCTTATGGGTGATTGGAATGGGGTGATTTCTCCCATGAAAGATAAACAGTTCCCAAAGGGGCTGAGAGTTAAACAAGAAAAACTACCCGAAACATTCTTTGATTTGAAAGACATGTTGGACTTACAAGATATTTGGAGACTTTTAAACGGAAATTGCAAGGAATATACATATCATTCCAAGAGATTCAAGTCCTTTTCTTGAAAAGATATGTTTTTGATTTCTAAAACTTTGAAGATGGATATTACTAAAGTTGAAATATTACCTAAGACTTTTTCAGATCACAACCCAGTTAAGTTGACTATTAAAGGGAAAAAGAGTACATTTCGATGGAGATTAAATGAGACAATTTTACGGAAAAATGAAATAGTAGATACTTGTAAAAAAAAGATAAGAGATTTTTTTCAATTGAATATGAATAAAGGCACTAACACACAGACTGTTTGGGATGCTAGCAAGGCTTACATGAGAGGTTATTTCATTCAATATAATGCACAGTTGAAGAGTAAGAAACAAGAGAAGATGCAATTGATTTTAGATGAAATTAAAAACAAAGAGATTGAGATGAGAAACAATCCATTGGATGAGACTTTGAATACACACATTAAATTTTTACAAAAACAAATCTCAATGTTAATGATACAGGAATTAGAAACTCAATTGAAATTTATTTAGATGAAATTAAAAACAAAGAGATTGAGATGAGAAACAATCCATTGGATGAGACTTTGAATACACACATTAAATTTTTACAAAAACAAATCTCAATGTTAATGATACAGGAATTAGAAACTCAATTGAAATTTATTTAGATGAAATTAAAAACAAAGAGATTGAGATGAGAAACAATCCATTGGATGAGACTTTGAATACACACATTAAATTTTTACAAAAACAAATCTCAATGTTAATGATACAGGAATTAGAAACTCAATTGAAATTTATGAGAAACAATCCATTGGATGAGACTTTGAATACACACATTAAATTTTTACAAAAACAAATCTCAATGTTAATGATACAGGAATTAGAAACTCAATTGAAATTTACGAAACAGAAATATTTTGAATCTGCGAATAAACCAGATAGATGGCTAGCTTATAAATTGCGTAAACAAAGACAGAAAAGATTAATTTCTAAAATACAATACGAGGGGAAGACTTTAATGGATAATGCAGGCATTCAAGAGGCCTTTTTTTGTTATTATTCATCATTATATAAAAAACAAGATGTTCATTCAGATGATATTGACAAATATTTGTCGAACAAAAATTACCTATTCTCACTGATCAACAGAGAAAATTACTTAATGATCCCATCACATTAGAGGAAATATCAACTGCCTTTAAGAAAATTAATTGTGGAAAAGCCCCTGGCCCAGATGGTTTATCAGCGACTTATTATAAATATTTTGAGGAAGAGCTTTGTCTTCCTTTACAAATGACTATGAATTCAATTTTGGACACAGGTGTAATGCCAGAAACTTGGAAAGAAGCCCATATTACCTTGATTCCAAAAGATCAACAGGATTTGAACTTGACAAAGAATTATAGACCAATATCTCTATTGAACAACAATTATATTTACAACAATTTTAGCGGAAAGAATGAAGAATATTCTTGTAAAATGTATCCATCATGATCAATCAGGATTTTTACCAAAAAGACAAATTCCAGATAACATCCAAAATGTTTTGGATATATTAGAATACCTGGAACAACATTATGAAAAACAAGCAGCCTTGATATTTTTGGATGCTGAAAAAGCCTTTGATAAT